GGCCAGCAGGGGGGGGCAGCCGGCGGTAATGGGCGCGGTCTCGTTGCAGGGGTCCCCCTGAAACCCAGGAAGGAGCTGCGGTTTGCGGAACTGCCCTCCGGGCACCTGGAGGTCAGGTGGTCCTCGAGGTTCAACGTCTCCATCGAGCCGGTGACCTACGTGCTGCAGAGGAGGTGGAACGCGGGCCTGCACCCCAGCGAGGACGAGGCCACCGCCTGGCAGACGGTGGTGCAGGTGAGTGCGGGGCCGGGCCGCGCTTCTCCTTCCGGCCGTGCCTCCCACACACCAGCCCGTGTGGCTCAATGGCTGAGCACCGACCTATGAACCAGGAGGTCAGGGTTCGATTCCCCGTCGGAGCACATGCCCGGATTGCAGGCTCCATCCCCAGTAAGGGGCGTGCAGGAGGCGGCCGATCCATGATTCTCTCTCATCATCGATGTTTCTATTCATCTCTCCCTTCCTCTCTGAACTCAATAGAAATATATCTATACTAATAAAAGGGTAATATGCTAATTAGACCGGGAGACCTTCCGGACGTCCTTACGGACAAAGCCATGGTGGCAGGGCCAAGGCAGTTAGGGGTGATCAGGCCAGGAGGGGAGGGCAGTTTGGGGTGATCAGGCCGGCAGGGGGGCGCAGTTGGGGGCGTAATTTTCTAATCCGAGTGCAGACACTTCCTCCAAGAACTGCCCTTCCTTGAGATAAGCCGGCAGCCGGCGAGAGCCAGGCAAGGCCGCCGGCCAGGACCAGTTCATCCGATACGTGATCCGGAAGTGACTTCTCTCTGTGTCTCCTGAGTGTGAGCTTTTATTCCGCCCCGATTGGAGAGGGTGCAAGCCGGGCTGAGGGACAACCCCACCCACCGCGCACGAATTTCGTGCACCGGGCCACTAGCATTTTTATAAACTAGCGGTTTTCCATGAGGGAGTCGCTAGAACAGCTTTTGCACCCTGATTTTGGAATCTCCCCTTGACAAGGTGATCGGCCGAGTTTATCTCGGCCCGGTCCCTGCCGCTCTGCCCCGGGCGGAGGGAGCACAATATCCCCTTTCTTTCCAAAGCTGTTAAACGGATGCCGGGTGCAAGGCGTCTACCCCGAGATCGAGAGAGAATAAAGCAGCCCGGCCAGCATGGCTCAGGGGTTGGGCGTCGACCTAGGAACCAGGAGGTCAGGGTTCGATTCCCGGTCAAGGGCACAGGCCCGGGTTGCGGGCTCGACCCCCAGTGGGGGGCGTGCAGGAGGCAGCCGATCCATGATTCTCTCTCATCACTGATGTTTCTCTCTCTCCC